AGTTTAGATTTTAGTAAGCATATTAAGTCTTAGCTAATTTTAGGTCTTTGGAGTCCTCTCCTGTGTGCGCTGCAATTTAAAATAAGATCAGATTTGACAGATCATGCAGAGAAGAGTCCAGCTTCAAATAGCGCACTTCAGATGCACTTCAGATGTCTGTATTCAGTGTTAATGAGTTTTGAAGATCCTTCAGTGTGAAGGGGCATAATGCTTCCTGTTGTGTTGTCAGTTCCTAGGCATTTAGGATTCAAGTCTACAGCTGAAAACTCCTATGTGCAGAAGTCATGTCAGTCTAAGCAAAGCTTCGTATGCTTTGGCATTGTTAGTTTAAGACGACTGACAGATGTGGAAATGCACTACTGGCTGCAGCTTTAAAAAAGAATTCAGGAGCTAAGGATTTCAGATAGAGAACAACATGGGACTGATAGCAAGTGTCTTCGTCAGCCTCCTTGTTCTGATTATCAATGTTGTCCAGTTAGCAGTGGCACTTACAGCAATGCATGGAGTCGGAGTAAAATGAAATAATTTCTGAAGGATCTTTGGTTTAGTCAGAGGGCTATAAAGCTGATGTTTCTTTTTGAGTCTTACAGGGTTGTGTGCTGAGACCCAGTAGTAGCAAACTCTCCTTTCGCAGGGGAAGTATCTTTGCAACTGGAGGTAGTGAGGTAAATTAGATCAAGTATTTAGTTCTGCTGCTTTTTGCCTTTCAAGTAGAGGTCCTCCTCTACAGTGAACTTTGCAGGAACAGCAAAGAAAAGCTTTGAATACAGATCAAGTGTTGTGATATGGGATACTGGACTCTGCTCCTGTGGTAGAAGCATGGCATTCTCAAGCTAAATAGGATAAGCTTGGGAAATACAAATCAAAGAACTCAGTTTTCTCCCTTTCTTTCTTCAATTCTTTAAGACCACTGATTTTCTTTCATATAGTATGAAGGGACATTTTTCTATTTTTTGGGTGTAAGGGACCATTCAGGTAACTATCTCATCTTTAATATCATTCTCAAAAGACAGCATTGAGTAGGCAATCAAAGTCAAGTTCCTTCTAGTGTTGGAAGAAGGGCTTCTAGAATTGCTTCTGTAACTCAGAGGAAAGGTTGTTTCCAAAGCCGTTTTCTAATCAGACAAAAGTGGGAGATAGGTGTACCACATCTTCGAGTCTGAGGATGTGAAAGTTAACTCCATAGTTAACTCCAGGCAGTCTCACAAAGTCACAATTGAGTCTTCAGAAGTTTTACTTGTTACCAAGTTTTCTTGGCATCTCAACATCTTGCAAGAAAAGACGATGCTGTTCTCTGCAATTGCCACCCACTCCCTGGAACGCAAAGGTTCTTATACTTTTCTGGTAGCTAAAGCATGCCAAAGAGTTCACCCTGTTAACTCTGATCATGAAAAACCACTTGAACAGATACTCCTACTACTGTGAGCCCAAGTTAGCCTCAGGAAAATAAGGAGAGAAGCGTTCTGTCACTCTCTAGTGTATCCTTGAGTGGCCAGGGTGCTGGCCTCTTTTGGAAGTGCTGGCTTCAGTATTTGATCATGAGGAATAATATGCCTGTAGGGATAGGGTGATCTGATATTAGATGATGCTTATTTTGAAATCAGCCTAATTTTAAAATAGAGTTATGCTAAAGGCAGGAAATAAATTTTTTTAAAATGTTAATATTTGCTTTTAGTTTACCAGGGTGCATACAAACAAAAATGTAAGGAAAATGTTAAATCTATTTAACTCAAGAGAACAGCTGAAAGGTGTTCCGTTTCCCATGTTCCTTCCTCTGTGATGGATGCTTATCCTAACTCAAAAGGTCAGGGCCTGTCCTTGTGTGTACCTGATGTCCAAGCTGTGTTGACAGAAGATAACTTTAGGATGGAGAAACACATTAGATTTCATAAACCACTCTAGATTTTGAGTTTCCTTTGTGGTATCCCCCTCCTGAGGCTGTCTTGTTCCTTCATGATAAGTTCCTACTTTTGACACTTCTGTCTTTGGGCCATTAACAGCCTCCAATTCCCTTGGGTGATGGTGAGGATTCATGGTGTGGCCAGGTGCCAACCTCTCCTGACCAGACTGTCAATATAGTTAGTTAATAGCTGCCTCACAGCCTAGCCAAACCCTAGATAATTAACTCATTATGCTAGTGCCTGCTGAGCTGGGTCATTTTCCATTGCTGTCTAAAGTCGTTTTCATTCAATTAAATCTTGTATTCCACATAAATCTATAAAAAGAATTTGCAGTTTATATAACCATATACCTGGCATTAATGTGTGTGGTTTCTTATTGGCCTTCAATTGATATTAGATATATCACTATTTCATGGTGATAAATGTCTTGTGATGACTGACCCTCATTCCCATTTAGAGTGTTTTAGCCAAAATGTTGCTAATAACAACAATAACAATGGTGAAGTAGCGCATAGAAGCTTGTTTTTTTTCCATAAAATTAAACTCCAGTCCAGGGTCAAATTTTTTTAAAAGTGCTCCAGAGTCTACCGTGAAGATGTTATTTTTATCTCCTGTTTTTTTTACACATATGCAAAAACTGCCTGCTGGGACTCATTCCCGTAGGTGCAACTTCAGTGGTGTACCACAGAGATATTTCTATAGTTAAGTTTAATCAAGTTTGTAATGTGACGTCTGGTTTTTGCCTTTACTAATATGTAGCCTTTTAGCTGAGGTAAAGCAGGAACAGTTTGGAGGAGTTCTGCAACTAGCAAGACCTCACCACCATTATTGTGGGAATATGTGGAGATCATTCCAAGAAGCTGGGAGTATTTGTAACTGGAGATCTGTGATGAGAGGAACTTTCCAGAAACACTGCTGAACTACTTTTCCATCTTCCTCAGTGTTGGTTAACATTGCTCAGATGTTCAAATAAATATCTATATATAGTGGGAATATTCCCCCACCATATAATACCTGTGTTTCAAGTAATCATGAGTATGAGCAGAACCACTGCTTATGGAAGAACTGGTCTGCACAATATACAGAGGTTCATATCAAGACATCTTAGAGTGTGACTTCTGATTCTCAAGAATAACTTTACTTACATTTAAAATAAGAATTGTGACAGTTATATATGGCACATATCACATCTGAATTCAAATTGAGCTGCTGCCAGTAGCCAAAACCGTGATACTTGAACAGAAATTCTTTTCTCAGAGTATGAAATATTACTTACTACTGCTCCGAATGTTGTCAGACTTTTATATAAAGAGGATGGAAAAGTTATGTCATTTGATGAAATGTTGTAAGCCTAAGGTGCAGTTTGAAGTCTTATGTGTTTTGAAGAATTGTTGAGGTTTGATGCTTTGATAAATACTGTTCATAGTGATCTCTATTAATTCTTGTTATTTGTGAGAGTAAGGCGTGCTTTTCAACGTGGGACACAAGGCTTCAAGTACTTCTGTTCTTATCGGTGTGGAAATTGGTTCCATATTTGCTTACAGTAGGTCACAACATCTCTAGTCTTGCTAAGTAATCTGTTCTACTTAAACATACCTCCAAATATAAAAGACATCCTAAATGAACACTGTGCAAGTGTGTATTATGTATGTGCAAATGTATGTAAAATACAAGGATATCATAGATAATTTTCCTGTTGGGGGGTTTCTTAATTTATATTAATTTAGAGTGATATGGAATAGATTAGCAGAGCATATGTAGTGTGCATTTCATGAATGAGAGATTGAATGCTGCCACCATCTGACGACACAATCTTTTTTTGTCCTTACACTTTATATATATTAAATTGCTGCAGGAAGGAGACCTTGCAACTTTTGTCCACCTTTGCCTCATTAATGAAGACTTTCACATAACTAAAGATTTTTTTTTCTTTTTTTTTTTTTTTTTTCCTACCTACCCTGGAGCTGGAAGTAATAAAGATGTGACTAAGCATGTATTTGCAACTCAGTTACTTGACCTTTCTACAACCCACAGCTACCACTAATGCTGCTTTGTAATGGAGACATTATCGTTTATTTAAATCTTGATTAGGAAACAATTACAAGTAGGGTTTTAGTATAGCAGTAAATTGATGTAGCCTTTAATTCATACTATAGATTGAGTGGATAAGCTTTCTGACTGTAATTAGAGTGAATTATAATGACTTCAGTTGGTTGACTCACCACCAGCAGTGTAGGGCCTATGATTGTTTCTTCACATTTATTTTTTTAATTCAGTCTTGATTTTACTTTGCTGCTGAATGCTATTTTTTAACTTAGTACAAAATGGAGTTACATTTACAGTTGAATGATACATATTTTGTATTAATAAAAGACGAGCTTTATGAAATAACCTGGCACCTTAGCAACACTGTGCAGCTACGCTCTTTCTTTACAATTCAAGTGACAGAACTGCTCTTAATAAAGTTGGAGATAGATATTTTCATGCGTGGTTTAACAATGTAAATAGGGAACATTTCCCTTTTTGCATATAATTAAATAGTAGACACGGTTATTTTCAGTACCATTTAATTTTTGTATATATTGTGAATGTTGCACAATGTTTCTTCTTAGCTTTTTCAAATGTATTGTTTTCCTTATGTGTGCTCTGTCTGGTTTTTGTGTTTGGTTTTTTTTTGTTTGTTTGTTTCTTGCTTCTTTTGTCTTTTCTTTTCTACAGATTTTCTTTAAAGATACCATACGTTGCTCAATTCAATATAAGTGTAGGGGCATCTCCTTTGAGCAAAGGAACTTCTTTTGAAATACCTTGTAAAAACATACTAATCTACTTTATTTGATAGTGAAGTAGGTGTATTTAAGTTTTACATTGGTTATTAAACACTCAGTAGGATCATTAAGAGTAAATTTTTTTTCTTTGCTGACCTTCCCTCCCTTGATGTACCAGATGTTTTTTACTTCAGGCATGGAAGTGTTCTGTATGTCATAGTGCTCTGTAGGCACAGAATTAAATATGGCGAGTGAAGAGAAAAAAATGGCAAAAAATAATATATCAAGCATGCTAACTTGTTTGTTTGTTTTTTGTTTTCCTGTTAATCTGCAGTGGATGATTCAGAGCCCTTACAAAGCTGCAACTTTCTTTGGGTGCATTGGCAAAGATAAATTTGGAGAGATCTTAAAGAAGAAGGCTGAGGAAGCTCATGTGGATGCCCATTACTATGAGCAGAGTGAAGAACCAACAGGAACCTGTGCTGCCTGCATCACTAGCGATAACAGGTCAGGGGCCTTTGATATTTCCTAAGATATAAATGCAATCAGCATAGTGTGTGGAGCCTAATTTGTTTGGAATATTTGCCCTTGAAAAATTGTGATTTGAATGATAAAGGAAGTATTATCACTGGTTTGAGACAACACAGGACTGCCTGTCTCATAGCTTGGGGCTGGGTGGTATTAATATGCTTTTAGAGAACAGCAGTTGTATTATGGCAGAAAAGTGTGAGATGATAATACACTACTACTTTCTGAACTTTATAGCTTCCAGTTGCTCTGGAGAGAGAAAATATGTGGGAGACAAAAGCTGGTAAACAAGTATGTTCATGCAGCCTATGTAAAAGCTGATTGGCATGTAAGGCATATACTTGATTGGCAAGTGAGGAATATACTTCAGGTGATAATGTGTTTAGAAAGGGTTAATTTGATTTTATACAAGAGGAAGGAAGAAGCGGGTTTTTTATTGTTGCAGTTGTTGAGAAGTTAATCTAATAACTGATTCTGTATGTCTACATCTTAACAATTTCTTCTGAATTTTTTCTTTCATGTTTTCATTTGCTACTATTTTTAGATGGTCTTTGCTGTAGAAAAAAATCACTTCTCCAGAACTCTATGATATGTTCAACCTTTCTTATATTTGTAAACTATGAACAATGGTCTTTGTGGTATTTCATATGGTTTCAGAGCATTCCGTAAGTAAGAACCCATTTATAGAGTGATTTATTTTGGATATTGTAATAAAGTAATAAAACCAAGAATTTCAGAAAGAGATAATGAAGACAATAGGGATTTATCTTGAGCATGTCCCTTTGCTTTCTTCTTTCTCTCTCCACCAACACCACTAGAACTTATGTACTACTTCTTTGCTGATTACCTCCTAGCAATTTTTTTGAAGGTTTCAAAACCAGCCAGTCAGGTCTGCCTTAATCTTGAGATGTTACCAGCACACACCAACCCTCCCTGATTTCTGTTAATATCTAAATTTTCTGATACTAGATATTGAAACAATAATGAAAATGGTATCAGTTACCCTGAAGAATATTTTCTGTTTGGCTCTGAATAAAAGCAAAATATCTGTCATTATCCTTTTTGGTTTCCCTCTGTGGCTTTCAGTGCCATTGGTCCTGAGGAA